AAAAGAACATATTATGTCATTGATACAATTAAGTTAGTGTTTGGTAAGCAGAAATGACAGAATTTGATTGGATAAAACAAGAGGGTATGACTGGATGAGACAATACTTTTGGTTCGGCTAGGGCTAGATGTGATAAAACTATGCAAGTTGCGCCTAAAGGTTATTTCATAATTTTATATATATCATATAATAGTTATAAATGATAAAAATAATTAAATAATTTAATTTAGAACATTTTTACACACTTTTCATATACATAAATACATACATGTAAAATAGTATCAAATTTGAATGATATATTTGATAAAATTGATGATAATTCGAAAAGACCCGATTCGTACAAAGGATTAGAAGATTCTTATCAATTGACGGAGGCACGATGAAGATTGTTGTTGTAACAATGCTTGTGGAGGAAGAGGTAGTGGTGGTTGGTGGACGGTGGTGGTTGTGGAGGACATGAAGATAGTGAATAATGGTGGTGGTGGCAGTTGACAATGATGGTGGAGGTAGTTGTGGCTACAATGGTGGAGGCGGTAGTTGTGGTGGGCAGTGACAGTGGTAGCCGATGGTGAAGATGGCCGACGGTATTAGTGGTGGGCAACAGTGGTTGTGGAGGTGGTGATGGACGATGGTAGTCGACGATTGTGGAGGTGGTGGATGAGGTTGTTGTAGTGGAAGAGGTCGTGAAAATGGCCGACGATGGCTACCAGTGGCCGCTGATGGTGGCAGCGGCCGGGACTAGTGGTTGGTGACCATTAAACCCACACCATATTAAGGTTCAATATAAAACGATGGTAAACTAGTAATATTTTAGTTCATGTCTCATTCTTGTTCCACCTGTTTTGAAGGAACAAGAAAAAACTTTTTTTGTCTCACATTGTCCCAACCCTTGTCCCTGTCCCATATCCCGCCAAACAAGGAACAACAAGTTCTTGTCCTGTCCCATGTCGCGCCAAACATGGAAGAATGAGTTTTGTCCCGTCCCGTCTCATCTAAGAGAACATATTATGTACCAAACGCAGCCTAAGAGAACATATTATGTATTTAATGCAATTAAAAGAACGTATTATACCTTTAATACAATTAAGAAAACGTAGTATAACTTTGCTAACAAGAAAGAAAACGTAATTATGACTCTCTAAAAACAGAATTTTTATTAGACTTTCTTATTTAAGATGTAATAAAATAATAATTTTATTTTAATAAAATTAATTTAATAATTCAAAAAATTATCACCCAAAAAGCAAGAAATAAAGTGGTTTTATTTTTTTGACTTTCACATGGTTATTACCAATTTGTAGCTTAAAAATGCATCAAACTTGAAAACAAGAAAGTGGTCTCCCTTTACCAAACCCTAATTTTGGTAAATGATTTTTCCCACTCTCCTATTCCTTTACCCAAACTATTATTATTTTTAATTAATATAAAACTAAATATTTTTTTTATCGTTATTATATTTATTAAAACACAGATAATTTATCGGTCTTTCGACAACTCGTCAACAAAAGTTGTTTTTCGGTCTTTTTCAATTGATCATATGATTTTCTTTTTGTTATTATTTCAATTGATCATATGATTTTCTTTTTGTTATTATTTGTTAACTTTATTTTCTTTCCTTTGTATTTTTTAGGTTTACAGTATAATCTTTTATTACAATCAAATCATCGTTATTACAAAATTATGTCACACCATCTCTGTAATCAACAAAATGCAAAATACGTATAAAAAAGTCTACGCATGTCAACATTTTTTTTGAATTTAAAACAACGAATACTTTAAAAAATTTAGAAGTTACGAGCTTAATTGACACTCTATATGCCGAGTAAACTTACATGGATGAGTCAACATGGCTGTCCCTTAGCATGTTAAATGTGAGCTTTTGAACATGACCCCCAAAATTTTGGGGCCCAAATTTACATGTGATTATGGTCTTTTATCGACATATGTAAACCATTAATTGTTTGGTTTTAGGTTTAAATCATTAATGATTTAGGTCTAGTTTCAGATTGTTAATCGTTATAGGTTTAACTCATTTTTGTTCTTAACATATATTCTCTGTTATCTCATTTATGCAATGTAATCAAAAGTTTTGGATATAACAAAACCTCCAAAAAAATTGAAATGTCACCAAAAATGTTGTTGATTCAGATGTAATATGTAAGTGTTTTTTTTAATATAGAAAAACAAACAGTACCGTCACTAAAAGACAAAAAACCCCGCAAATTTTTAATCATCCTTTAAGCAAATTAGGTGAATATCGGGTCCATAACTATACTTTATGTGGGCCACCACAAATAGCAAAAGAGGGAAACGTGATGTATTTGGACTATAACATATTTGATTATTATTATTATTATAAGTACTAACGTTGTTTTTATATGGTTATACAGAGTGACACGTAAACACCATCGACACAAAGAACTAGTCAAATCGGAATCGTAGATGGATCGTGTCAAAATATAGAATAGTGACGTTGTTCACAAGCTTGATTATTCGTTTGATTACCAAGTAACTTTCGTTAAATAAACCGTGTACGTCTTCTGAATTTTTTAGAAGGGGGGTGTCGGGGGTTGGGAGGCTGTCCGATATACATGAACCTCGTGCATTAAAAAATACGCAAGGCAATAGATTTTCAAAAAGTTGAAACATTCCAACATTAGAAAGACAAAATTTGTGTTATATTAACTTTGGAGGCAGATGATATTTTCTTTGCTCGATTTTTTTTTTAACTGGTATTTTTTTTATTTATCACCAGGTGATGGTCTTTTCAAAATTAGTTTTTTTTTTTTTTTCTTTTCAAAATAGTAACTAATAACATGATTTATTTGTAAAAGATATACAACTCAAATAAGGAAATTTAGAATTTTAGGTAACCTGTTTAACCTGCTTTCTATGTAATAAAAAAACACGTCCAAGCAAATAGGATCGTTATATGCTTCAACATATTGCGAAGTAATTAGGTGACCTGTTTAACCTGCAACTCTATCATAACGATATTTTCAACCTTCAATTTCTTAACGAAGAAATAACCCAAGATTTGTTTAAATAGTTGAGAAATTCTCGTAAAAGGAAGTTTATAAGTACGAATTTGGGCCAAACTTATTAGTTGTTTTAATTTGTGGTACAACCACAGAGCCCACTATAAATTGGGCTCAATAAGTTTCATTTCTACAGCCCAACAAGACCCCTAAAACGTTTGGCACAGTGGATACTGGATAGTATATGACAGAATTGAGATCTTTGTTCTATATCTGACAAAAAATTTATATTGAACAAACAAAAACAGAATGGAACAAAGTGGAACAAACCTGTTCCAATCCTTCCCATGGAACAAGGTGGAACAAACTTATATTTCACCAACATAACATCAAAACAAAACTTAAGGGAAAATTACCACAACTACCAGAATATACTTGATGTATTAATAAAATTAGCCATTTTTTTACCAAAATTGCCAAAATAACCATATGGATCGCCCCAGGGGAGGGGGCATGGTTTGACCATGGGGGCGATCCTACTCAAATTTGACTAAATAGTACGAAAAATACAAAAAAATTTAATTTGTGAGGCCTACATGTATCTACTTTAGGCAGCCAAATACTATTTGCCTCGATATATGGGATCGCCCCCACCTCACCGGTCTTCCCCGGGGGCGATCCATGCTTATTTTGGGTTGAATCATATTTCGTCTGTTAGTTTAACAAGTTTCATTATAAATATCAACCTCCTATTTCATTATTTTTCATATCTCCTCTTTCATTTTTATTCTCATATATTCTACTCTCACAACCCTTAACCCTTCAACACAATAAATCATCACAATCCTTAACCCTTAACTCTTAACCATTAACCCATTAAATACAATCTACCATCACAACCCATCACCTTTAAACACAAATATGAAATCACGTCAAAGTGAGGATGTTTTGGTGTATCTTCGAAGTGACGGTTCATTCTAAGATATAAATGGTGATTTAGAGTATCTTCCGTTAAGCTCCTCCGTACATGTATTACGTTTGTCTTCGCCAATAACGCATTCTGGTGTCGTTAAACGTGTCACAAAAAAAGTTAAGTTTACGTACTCCTTTCTTTTTATAAAACGAATTCCTTACAAATATTATATCAATTAAGCGATAACGACAATGTGCTAATGTTCCATAACACCATTCATCAAAGTCTAGCGGAAATGTTGACACTCTTTGTGGTCGACGATGATGGCTATGGTGAAAATCATCAAGTGTCGTAATCCATCAAAGTTTACCCGACGGTCCAAACACTTTTTACTTCGGTGGTGTTACTGGTGGAAATCCAAGCACTTTCTTCCCAAGTGGTGGAAATTCAAGCACTTTCTTCCCCGGTGGTGTTGGTGGAAATTCATATTTTGAAGCAAAAAATATTGTTGATCATGATAGTTATTTGGTTTAAGATTTGAACATGTCTCCGAGACAGTCTCCTAACCAGTACCTGATCCAGTCCCCAGAACAATCAAAAACTTTGTTAAAGGTAGATATGGCTGAAGATGTTTCTGTTGCTGTAGAAATTTTGAATATACCTGAAGACGATAACTTCGATGCTAAAGAAATCCAGCCAGTAAGGAATAGTTTTTGGGTTATGCCATACCCAACACTTTGCCCAGACCCTGTTATCAAAACTAGACATGGAAACATTTCCTACCAGCCTACATCTCATGTCAAAGTTCTCCAAACCTTTGACTAAAAGGAAGAACTGAAGCTCGCATTGGGATTAAAATGCGTTTATGAAAACTTTCAAATCAAGTTTAAGAAATCAACCAAACACCGGTACGAGGCGGTGTGTCACTTTGCTTCGGATTGTGATTGGCGTTTAATGGTTGTCTCTATCGATGGTACCATTATGTTTCAAGTACGAAAATTGTATGATGAACACACATGTTCAAGGTCCTAAGTCCACCCAAATCATCGTAATGCGAATACAAAGGTTTTGGTTCATATAATGGCAGAAGTTTAAAGGATTGTAGAATAATGTACCGTGGAAAAGAAATCATAGAAGATGTGAACCAACAGTTCAATATTAGCATCTCCTACAAACAAGCATTACGAGCAAAGATGTATGCCTTGCAACTGTTGAGGGGGACCCTTGAATCACCGTTTAGCCTACTCCCGGTTTATTGTCACAATTTGAAGATAGCAAATCCGGGGACTATGATAAAGACCGCTGTTGATGGACTTGGACAACTCAACATGTTGTTTGTCGCACTCGGTTGTTCGGTAATATTTTTTGTGATGTTCTTGAATTATTGTCATAATTTTATGTTCTGAAGTTTATATTTGTAACCTCGTTCATCTGCAGATTCGCTCGTTTCTAAGACACCTGAGACCGCTCCTTATAATGGACGGTGCCCATTTGAAGGGGACATATGTGGGCACCATGTTCTTAGCGGTCGGCATGAATGGAAACAATGGGATCGTACCCATTACAATTAGAGTGGGGAACACAGAAAGTGGCCCGTCATGGATATGGTTTTTACATAAGCTGAGGCAGTGTATCGGTGAAGTGCCCAATTTAACCTTCTTAACCGATAGGGCTGCCTCTATCGACTTGGTCATACGAAATGTATTCCCCAACGCGCACCACAGATTTTGTTGTCGGCATCTGAGCCAGAACTTGCGCCTAACCTCTAGTAAAGACAAAATGAAAAGGTGGATGTTCTGGGAGGCATGCAAAGCTTATAGGGTGTCAGACTTTGAAGCTACAATGGATTTGATGCGGCACAATCTACCTAACGCCGCTCAAATGACGAATGCAATGACTCCTTGGATGGAGGCGAAAATAGAAAAGATAATTCATATAAGTGCAAATTGGAAGGTATATCCCATTAGCGATTTGTTATTTGAAGTTGACGACAGGTATAAGAAAGGAACATGCAATTTGCATGCTAAAGGTTGTACATGGATGCAATGACAACTTTCTGGTATAGCTTGTGGTCATGTGATATCTGTTGCTCGAAGTTTAAATATTCAAGACTGCAGTCAATTTTGTTCTGTTTGGTTTAACTCCGATTCTTATCATGCAATATACGAGAAGCAAGTAATTTCCCTACCACTAGAAGCTGAATATGGTATATTGTGTTTACGGGTTGTGAGCGTAGAAGCGTTTTATTTTATAGAGTAAAACCATGACATTTGGTTCTAAAACAGTTAAAAAAAACAGTCTAAATCGTCCCATATTTATTAAAAACACCACCTAATTGTCAAATCAATTTATACACTAAAAAGACAAAATAGTGGTCAAACTACATAAATCAGATATAATATCTAATTTTTATCCCCTCAAATCAGATACAAATAATTTTTTTTCGTGTCAACAATTATTATAGAATATTAACATTCAGTGTTTATAAAAAATATATTTCTTATAAAAAAATATAAGAACGTTCGTTGATTAATTTATGCGTTTCAAAAAAAGTAGTAAAAGTTATAAATCTTCACGTACTTTCATATTGTTTTAAGGGTTGTTACGATAGATTGTGTTTACGGGTTACGGGTTGTGAGAGTAAAAATGTTTTATTTTTTATAGAGTAAAACCATGACATTTGGTCTTAAAACAGTTAAAAACCAATCTAAATCGTCCCCTATTTATTAAAAACACAAATTAATTGTCAAATCGATTTATACACTAAAAGACAAAATAGTGATCAAAATTGAAGGCTGGATCTCCCCCGAGGGAAGATCCGGTAAGATGGGGGCAATCCCGGTTATCGAGACAAATAGTGTTTGGTTTTCTAAAATAGGTATACGTGAGTCTCACAAATTATTTTTTTATACTTTTTGTACCATTAGTTAAGAAAATATAAGGATCGATCTCCACGGTCAAACCATACCCTCGGAGTCGATCCATATGGCTATTTTGGTAAATCCAATAAAGAATTACTATTTTGTTAACATATCATATATATTCCGGTTATTTTGAGAAAATCCATCTAAAAGTAGCTATTTTTACGAATTTCATAAGGGAGAATATGCTACAAAATGATGGTCCGAAAGTTTCTTTTGTTCAGAGGTAGTTCGCCTGTCATATCAAATTCAATACAATTTTTGCTGATGACGTCCACAGCATCAGGACCAACCAAAATATATGACGTGTCTTCTTTCAAACCGCAACCTCCAACCACATTTTCCCTCCACTTTTCTACTTTTAACTGAACTGTCTCATCGACCGTCATTCTTCGGCCCCTTCCCACCGGATTCTCTTCCGATGGCCACCGCTGCTGCTTCTTCTTCTATAATAGAATCTACAGCCGTCCAATTGCGCAGAATTAGGGTTCTTAAGGAGAGAATACACCATCATCCTCCACCGTCATCTTCGTCGTCTAATGTTGGTCCTGTTGTATATTGGATGTTTAGAGATCAGCGATTGAGAGATAACTGGGCGTTGATTCATGCCGTTGATCAGGCAAACAGGCTCAATGTCCCTGTTGCGGTTGCATTTAATTTGTTCGATGGCTTCTTAGATGCAAAAGCTCGTCAATTAGGGTTTATGCTAAGAGGATTACAGCAACTACATCACGAATTCGAAGAAACTCTTCAAATACCTTTCTTCTTGTTTCAGGCAAGTAAGGAATTCTATTTTGATGGTGGTTTCTTACTCGATTTCGCCAACATCTTGATTAATTGAAGTACTTATTAGGGATTTTATATGATTTATTTCGAGAGTTTATATTGATTTTGAAGTTTAAAGTTGGTCTGCTTGAGCACAGAAGCAAGCGCTATCTCTTTCCATGGAAGAAATGAAGTTGTTAGCTTATATTTGGGGGATATTATCCAAAATTCCCACCAATTGATTTTATTGCCACTTTTCCTACTCAATTGATCGAAATAGCCAATATTTTGCAAATAGCGCTTTTAACAACCCATGAAACCTGCTTTTTTTCAAGTTGATAAAATTTTACTTGCAAGAATACATGGAATCCCTATAAATTACTCTCCAAACGAGCTAAAGAGACTTTGAGGAGAGAAGGGAGGTTAAAACAAGAGAGATGGTGTCCTATTAGATGTAGTGTTTTACAACTTAAATTTCTAAAACGAAGATTGTTTTGATGTAGGGAGAAGCCACAGAGACTATTCCCAGTTTTCTAAAAGAATGTGGAGCTTCGCTTTTAGTTACCGATTTTTCACCTCTAAGGCAAGTTCGGGGATGGAAGGAGGAAATAAGCAAGCGGGTATCTGATTCTGTATCGATTCATGAAGTTGATGCCCATAATGTAGTACCCATATGGGTGGCATCAGATAAGTTAGAATATGGTGCTCGAACCATTCGAAGAAAGATCAATAGACTGCTTCCTGACTATTTGATCGACTTTCCAACATTAAAGCCTCAGAGTAGGAAATGGCCCTCCACAAATAGATTTATTGATTGGAAGATGCTTATTGAAAATGTAGTAAGGTAAGATTTTGATAGAATCTTGTTGGGTTTTACAATCGGGTTAGAAACATATTGAAAGTTTAATAATCATGGTTATATATGGGCAGGAAAGGAGCTGAAGTCCCTGAGATTGAGTGGTGTGAACCAGGAGAAGTTGCTGCATTAGAAACATTGATGGGGAATAACAAGGGTTTCTTAACAACTAGAATTAAGAACTACTCAGCTGATCGCAATAACCCGTTGAAACCTGAAGGGCTTTCTGGTCTTTCTCCATATTTGCATTTTGGGCAGATATCGGCCCAGCGTTGTGCCCTGGAAGCGTGTAAAGTACGCAAAGTTAATCCTCAGGTTTGTAGTGCAAGATATTTGCTTTTGCTAGTGTTATTTGGAATTGTTCCATGGTTCACTACAACAAAATCGGCTTTATATGACGCCAAAGATGTCTAAATGTCCTAATAGACAGTTTTATAAGACTGAAGTTTGTAGGAATGGACAATTATGTCCTATATAAAGGTGTCACGATAGGATGTTAGTACGTAGTTGGATATCCTAACAAGTTTTTTACGACACTTTTGAGGAGTGTCCATAAACATGTCTTTCTATAAAAAAAATTTGAAAATAATGTCATATAACAAGACGCCTTATTTTAAAATTGTCATAAAAAATTTATCAAGCGTCCAAATCAAGTTATTGCAACACATTTATATAGGACACACAAATGTTTGGTCATATAAACTTGAGTCCTATTAAGTAGTCTATCAAGGCGCTTACACATAACATGGCGTCCTAACCGATTTTATGGTAGTGGTTGATGATCTAAAGTTCAGATTTCACAAGTTCTTTTTTTCGTTGGCTGAAATGAAGGCAGTTGATGCATTCTTAGAGGAATTGATCGTGCGCAGGGAATTAGCCGACAACTTCTGCTATTATCAGGTTCATTATGATTCTTTACAGGGTGCATGGGACTGGGCTCGTAAAACGCTTATGGACCATGCCTCAGACAAACGTGAACATTTATACACGTGAGTCCATTGCTTTTTTCGATTTTCTTAGGCTTCGATTGATCGCTCAGATATGATATGCATCTTATGCAGGAAGGAGCAGCTGGAGAAGGCACAAACTGCAGATCCTGTAAACTACTACACTTTCTTGATGAATATTCTTAAACATGGCTTCTTATATATTCTTACTTTCTTTCAGCTTTGGAATGCTTCTCAGTTGGAGATGGTTCATCATGGAAAGATGCATGGTTTTATGCGGTAAGTAGCAATTATTTCACCAACAATGCACTACCACAAAATCAGGTTTATTAGGATGCCAATAAGACCATTTTATAGAACTTAAGTTTATAGGACCAAATAATACAACGTCCTATCTAAAAATGTTGTAACAAGTTTATAGGACATTTTTAGGTGTCTTTAACAAGCCTTTTAGGACATTTTTTATAATAAAGCGTTGTATAGCTATTTTATAGGAGGACCCTTGTTTTTATAAGGCACTTTTTCAAATAGTGTTCTATAAGATAACTAATACGATGCTTTGCTATAAAAATGTCCTAAAAAGCTTATTAAGACGCCTTAAAGCATCCTATAAACTTATTCCAACACTCTTAAATAAGATGCTTTATCGTTTGGTTCTCTAAACATAAGTCATTTTTTGCGTTCTATAAACCCAGTTTTGCTGTAGGAAACCAAAAAAGCGAAACAAATTCATTTACTGTAGGTTTCTTTGTGTCTAAGATTGACCGATTGATCGAGTCTCCTACATTACAATGCTGTAAATGCTTGTAGCTTCTTAAAACGAAGCTAATGTGCTTGAATTCGAAATCAATCCACAGATATAATTTACGGAACAACTTTATAACTAGTTTGATGTAAATATGCAACTTCTGGAGACTGGATTGTGCATGCCGTTCTTTTAACGTTTCCATTTTGTGGGTCCCATTATACAGTATACCATATCTAATTGGTATACCATCATGATAACAGAATGTATTGGGCGAAAAAGATCCTGGAATGGACGAGTAGCCCAGAAGAAGCTCTAGAAATAGCAATCAATTTGAATGACAAGGTACTTGAATTCTATTCCTGGGTTTTTATTTTGCTGAAATCGGAACTTACGGAAGGTTGTTGACAGTATCATATTGATGGGAGAGATCCAAATGGATACGTTGGTTGTATGTGGTCGATTTGTGGTGTACACGACCAGGTATGTATTTCTTACATGCTTAATTGTAGGGGAAGGTTCTGTTAGGAACCTAAGATTGATTAGGAGCCCAAAAACTGTACATGTTATTCATCATTAATGTTGTAACATATTCATGATGATAACACGTCCATATTCATGATGATAACACGTCCATATTCATCATGAATGTGTGAATAATACTTCCATATTCATCAGGAATGTGTTATTCCTGATGAATATTCATCCTGAAGAGGGACACGTGACGCATTGTGGGCTGTTCAGGGTTCCTAATCATTTTTGGGTTCATAAGGAAACTTAATTATATATTACATAAAATCTAGCTAGGATTAACAAGTTCATATCATGTTAGAAAAAGGAAACTTGTATCAAGATGTTTTTGGTTACGTTTGTGCAGGGTTGGCAAGAGCGAGCGGTCTTTGGGAAGATACGATACATGAACTATGCAGGTTGCAAGAGGAAATTTAACGTTGATGGATACATAGCATACGTGAAGAGGTTGGTAGGAGATATCAAGAAACGAAAAGGGCAAGCATTGCTTAATAACAAAGCCAAACAACTAACCAATATTCAACGGTTGCATACGAAAGCTAACTAGGTTCTCACTTTCGACCTCCTACTCATACTACTATAAAAATTTAGATATATGTACTCAAACTATATTTTTGATCGATAACTCATAAGCACAAATACAAATATTGTAATTTTGCCATGTACTACCTATTTTACCCGTTATAGGAGGTAGACATCTAAGTATGTAAGTGAACACGTAGACGGTAGACGTAGTAGGTAAGGAGGTAGACATCTTTACATAATGTAACGGAACGGGTTTTTATGGACAATGAAATGCAGCAAAGTATGTTTTTCCAAAGACACACATACTGGAGGCAGAAAACAGTTTTATACGAAGTTCACAAACCTGGAGTGTGCAAGATGTTTACATAGACCAAGCTTGATGCAAGAGTTTTACATGAATGGTGTAACTTGAATAGTAGAAATAATTGAAATCTAAACTGGTTTATGATCACAAACCGGAAACCATGCAGAGAGAAAAACAGCATTTCCAGCTTTCGGAGTATATATTCGGTATCTAGATTTCAAGATCATCCAACGAGATCTCCTCCTTTGGAGTCAGCGACTTCAGTTTCTGCAAAACCAACATTAAACAGAGATGTCTTCAGCTGAGAAATAGGAAAGTTGTGCATTACTTTGATAGACTTCATAATTAAAAGATAGCTTGCCCGTTTGAGCTTGTTAGTAGTTTTAAGCACCGTACTCGTGTTTATCATGCACTGATGACAATTTTTGTACCCCTTTGGAGGTGGTTTCCCAGTTTTTCTTTGGTAACTATAGGTGTTTAGATCGGCTTGCTGCACCTCGACTAATCCCATGGGGTTCTGAAGTTTAACAGCCAATAAAATTCCAGCAGCCCTAGGGACTCGAATGAACGACCTATGGGGAGGAGCCTTTATTCGCCGGTTGAGCCAGTCAAAAAGATTAGCACTATAATTCAGTTATAGCATTCTCTATGGTCCCATTTTTAAGTAAATGGACTCACAATCACATCTTTGATATGGATGAGATCCATACAAAATAAAAATGGTATAAACGAATGAGAACTCAGATTTTCTGTCCTTTTTTTGCTCGCAAGAGGGTTTGCATGTTTGTAAACTATATGAATTGAAGTACCCATTAAATTGTTCAAGCAGAAAAGGGGTGGAGTTTTCACAACAAGGTATCTGGTTCAAATCACACTGCTCTAGGTAACACAACAATTTACCTCCCCCATGATAGTCATGGGATCGGTACGATGGAGGCGCTCTAGAAGGTAGCGCAAGCCCTTTTCACAACTATATGAATTCAATCTTTATGATTTTGACACGAGGGTGATGCGTGTTGCTGCTCTCATAAGGTGTCCTTTTTAGTTCAGTTTTGTTACTTAATTCTGCCTCATAAAAATTGCAACATTTAACCAAATATATAATCTACTAGTATAATGTTCAACATAGAGAAATCTTGTGTATGATGATCAATAGCATCAATAATTTTTAATGATGATAATGTCAATTTCAACTTGAAAACTTTGCCAAAGATATTGCAATTTCCATAGAATATGCCAAAAGTATAAATTTGTCGCCCTTTTACAGCATAGAAGGGAGTATTTCTTTTTTCCTTTCTCGTCTATTTGTGCTCAACATTAAAACGATATTGGCACGAGGTCCAAGCAACATATTTTATAAATATTGGAGTCTCACATCGGCTAGACTTGAACCTCCCCTATATATATATATATTATATATATATATATATAAATATATATATTGGAACCTCCCCTTTCTCCTCAAGGGCTCTTTTGGAGAATGATTTGGAGTTCCACATATTCTCACATGGTATCAGAGCCAAGGTTTGTCACTCTAGGGACCCAACACTCTGGCTAGCCCCCTTTTGACACTCTAGGACAGATCTGTGTCCATCTAGCCTCCATTGGAGGGACCATGTTGGAGTCCCACATCTGCTTGGACCGTCTGGGTAAAATATATCATAGTATCTGTGTTTAGACACAAGTTTCCATCTGATTGTATACCATTTCCCGTGGCATCTCTTTTTCCAAGCGTCATGCCATTTTCTGCCAACTTACTATTTTCATTTGCTTATACTGTATTCCTCTGTTTCCCATTCTTTATATGTCAGTCCATCTTTTTTTTCCCAAATGAACCAACAATCACATTTTATTTCTCCTCGCACCGCAAGAAGGGACCCGGAAAAGGAAAATATTAGGCAAAACCAATAGGGCAAAAACCTTCCATGCTCAAAAGTTGTTTTTTATTGCCTTCTGGTTGTATCAAGGTGACCCATAATGCTTACCCTATTCCTAAAGCATGCCTCAAGGCCCCCCATCTCATCCCCTTCCCTAATTCATCATGCACTAGAACCCCTTCTCTCCCCATTTTTCTCAACATTCTTTCACTAGTTCCTATGATATATATATATATATATATATTCATTCTTGTGTGCCGAACTATAGATCATAGGATATATATATATATATATATATATATATATATATATATAGGGTCTGGGGAAAACCGCAAAAAATGAAAAATTGAATTCATCTGTATATTATGCACATGTGCATAAAAGAAATTTGTCCGGTAGGCATATGTGCATAAAAGAAATTTGTCCGGTATGCACGCGTGCATAAAAACCAATAAACATCTTCAATTACTTTTATGCACATGTACATATCGTACGTACAGATAAATGGTTATTAGGTTGTTCCTCGGTTTTTCATTTTTTGGGGTTTTCCCCCTGAACCTCACTTTGTCTCTCTCTCTCTCTCTCTCTATATATATATATATATATATATACACACACACACACACACATATATATATATATAAGTAGGGTCAGGTTCAGGGGAAAACTGCAAAAAAATGAAAAACTGAGGAACACCTTAGTAACTGTTCATCTGGACGGTATGCACATGTGCATACTAGTAATTTGGAAGCAATTTGTCCGGTATGCACATGTGCATAACATGTACACGTGCATAAAAAAACAACTCCAATTACTTGTATGCACATGTGCGTACTGATAGAAAACAGAAGGAAAGTAATGGAAATTGGATTACTAGAAAGGGAAGATGAGCATAAGCTCTACACCAACAAAGAACTACCAGAGTCAGGGACTCCTCTCCAGAGAATTCTCTCCTAGAACAGAAAATAGCAAAATAATTGAATACCCCTTATTCCCACCTCAACACTAACTTTATTCCTTTCCTAACGACATGCTGCCTTCTCTCTCCTCGTGTACACCGTCCAAACTATGGGCTTCTTACCCACTTGAGTGACTATGAGCTTTTGGGCCTCAACATTAGAATTCCTAACACATACCATCCAGATGAATGGTTTACCAGGGTGTACCTCAGTTTTTCATTTTTTTAGGGTTTTCCCCTGAACCTCCCTCTTTGAAAGTATATATCATAAATTATCGTTCTTATTGAAAAAGAGATAAACCCTCCTATAAAACATGTGAATGTAGTCCCCCATGTGACCTAACAGGTATTTAAGTATATGGCTTCTCACATCTATGTCGAGACATGGCTACATGACACCGAATAAAAATCACTTGTCTCCAAATCCCATGTCCCTCCTTGAACCACCCAATCAAAATAAGACACATCATTACTTTAGATGATATGCATTTATTTAATTTATCTTTGTATTCTCTCTCTGATGACGTGTCTTATTTTGATTGGTGGATAGAAAGGGGAAATGGGGTTTGGGACGGGTGATTTTTATTCCAGGACACCAGTGCATATGTCTACAAATCGCAGGATGCAGAGATCTATATTTATTCATACTTGAGAGGCTTGGATTTAAACTTAAAGATACTTGAAAAGATGAGAAGTTACTTACCTCAATAAATTGCGCAGGACTATCAAGACTAGATGAACCTAGAATGATTTCTCTCCTCAATTTTGTTGTTAACTTGTGACAAGCCCGCAGCTGAAAGAAAAGAAGACACTAAAGATTTCATACATTTACCATAGAAGCTGTTAGTTCCAACAATACAGAAAGTTCTTACCTCTGACCTAGTTGCCCCACCAATGATGAAAACAAAAATTCGTTTACCCATCCTCTGGAACTCGCTGGTCGTACGTCTCAGAACTGATTCACTGAACAAAAAGATTGAAGGGTGTCTCTTTTCGCAACAATTAAATAATAAAAAATAAAATAATGACAGAAATGGCGGTATGCATCACTACTCAAATATAATTCACAGACATCTGTGGTAGTTCAAGCATTTGATCTTCTGCACACATTATAACTACATGCATACCTTGAATACCCATCATCAGAAGTGCGGCGCCGAGCCCATGTTGCCCGCCTTGATCTCATCGAGTGAGCAGATGGAGTATCAAGTACCCGTGCTGACACAGAATGTGACGCCCCATGAAAAGTTGGACTTGGGTCGTTCATACATGGGTATTCATTCACTGGTAGGTCATTTTTGCTAAGTTTCTCGATGAGTACCTGAAAAGATGATATGAGCTTCTGTTCTTCCCACAAGAAAAAAAGTTTCTTTTTCTTCAATTGGAGATGCTCAATGGGAATAAAGAAACAAAGGAAAAAAGAACAACAAGAAGCAATTGCACTGTTAGTGTAATGCCATGCTCAAAAGAAACATTTAACACAGATAACTACCAAGTCCAAAACCAAGAAATGAAGTTGGACGACAAGGAATATTACACTGCTACCTCTTCTAGGTTTGTCAAGAGAGAGATCATGTAAAATGCAGGAAGATGCTGGAAACAATGATGGAAAATCTAATTCACATACTAGGTACCATAGGCAGATCCACAAAACTTTCCATGCGAGGGAATAAAATAATTAGATAATATAAAATAACACAAAAAATAATTATAAAAAGTATGATTCCATTAAAAATGAAATACAAGTGTTTTTTCCTTCTTCTCTCATTCTCTGATGTTGGTACCAAGAAATTATCAGAGAGCCAAAACCATTTAGAACTTGCAACCTGCAATGCAATGCCATATGCAATGACATTACCAGTAAGTTGCAGCCACTCATTGTTAACTTAGGGGAGCACACATCAAATTAAAGCGAATGCACCTTTAAAACTCGTAAAAATATTTCCACTACGTCGGTACGATAGAGCGTAGCACGGGTGCCCCCTCCCTTTTTGGGGTAGAGGACAGGTCGCATACATCTCAATCCCCCAGACCCCACCTCTGGGTGGGATATGCTGGGGTTTGGTTTGGTTTGGTTATACATCGTGCAGGTACTACAATGTCAGAGGCCTATTGAGTATCGTGTGGATATGACAACTCTCCAATCATAAAATAGAACTGGTTAGTGGTTACAAGGTTAAGCCAGGTATGAAGAAGCACCTGTTTCCAATATAAATATCATGAAGATAAGTGTTTATTTGGAAATAATCTGCCGCATGCGCGCACCATACCTCAATCATGGGATAAAAGCGTGATAACTGCCAAACCGCTTCTTCACCAGGACGATCTTTTCTAAGGCCACGCTTCTTCTGAATTGATATCCAAGAGGAAGAGATGGATTAGTTAGAGATGTGGTTTATTAAACATGAAAGGCACAAACCATAGTATCATGTATTTACCTTGCGAGCATCAAATTTTAGTGAGAATGCATTGTTTGAGCTCTGCGTGGTATCTGTTGCTCCCTCAAGAAATCGCATGTTGTAAACAGCATTCTTATCATCAGGAGATAGGTCTGCTAACTGAAAACAAAATAGGAGGAATAGCAAAATAGTAAGATCAGCCAAGAGTATAGTACTGGAGCTTGGTTAAAAGGATTAAGCAACTAAAGTAAATAAAGTGAATCTGATTATCATGAATTTTATTAATGATTGGACTTAATGAGATGTACGATCCAAATCTTCATTGTAACAACTATTTGTACAAGTATTTGCAGCAGGACACATGCAGGAGTTACATCGGAAGGCTTGAACCACTTAGGTCTAGCCGCCTGGGTAGTTTCAAGACTGCAACGGCCGAGAGTGTTCAACCGTAGAACAATTCTTTTTTGCTTCTAGTTATAGATCCTACAGTTCATGGAATTAGGAGAAGGGGGGGATGCAGATATCTTGCGCTCAAATTTTAACTGATTTTCACAAAATAAAATGTAATAAACAAGCTTATTTGTCAGCTAACAGCCTGAAGATTGTTACATCACTATTTCATATGACAAGGCCACACAAATTATCTAATATACAAGATAAAATGATAAAAAGAAAAATCCTTACCTCCAATATCTCTGTAAGTTTGTCACTCTCAAACTTCTCGGGATGAGTTGCTGCATAGATCATTAATAATCGCAGCTTGTACTCATATTCTACATCCTGCATGAAGAGTACAAATAGACACACACGTTCATAAGCTATCAACAATATTTATTCTACTGGTTGCATGGCATTTTCTCACCGGTTGTGTTCTAAGAAATTCAATGACTTCCTTGGTTCCTGCATCTCCAAAGACAAGGTCCTGCTCTAGTTGCCCCACATCTTTAAGCCTTGTCTCGCGAATAATACTGTTAATCTTCCCAGCAATCTGTTTTAATCAAACTAGATATAAGGCCAGCTTGCATCAAAACTTCACCTATTGCATATACATCGTAGTAATTAAAATGCCTATTTATATATTGTTTGTGGATTAGACAATAAGATAATTGGTGTGTGGGGTTTTTGTGTGCTGTAGTACGTGTGTTGTTTCAAATAGATGGCAGGAGAGAGCATGGTTTCTTGTGGTCATGTCATGTTAGGGGGTCAAGGGGGGATCGAGGGCGAGATGAGAGAGTGGTTAATCCTAGGTTGTGTATAGGTAGTTTGAACATAGGAACTTTGACTGGCAAGTTTTTAGAACTACGGATGTGCTTAGGAAGCGAAAAGTGAACATTGTGTGCATTCAAGAGACTAAGTAGAAGGGGGAACAGACTAGAGAGGGAAATTGGAACAAGCTGTGATATTCAGACATAGTTAGCTTGAGAAATGGTGCAGGAATCATGGTGGGGACGGAGCTCTAGGAAAACATAGTAGAAGTGAATAGGTGTAGTGACAGGATCATAGCCCTCTAGAGAGTGTTAGGGCTGGAGTTGGTTCGTGCATAAGCAGGATTAGGAGAGTTAGAGTTTTGGGGATTGTCTAGATGAACTGGTGAGAAGTTCATCGGGAGACCAAAGTGTGTCGAAGGAGCGACAGTACTCTCTCATCGTTCCCTCTTGTCGTACCAGCTGCTCAAGAGTTGTACCATATTGGGTTGCTCTAAATCTATTGATAAGAAGTAATTTAAGATTTAACACCTACTATCTGCCCATTGAAACCAGGCCAATGCTTCCTCTTCCATACAAATTCTACTAGCTATTTTCTCCGACTCTTCCAATCGATGCATATAGAAATAACCCACTTTCTTCTGAGAGCGGCATGAGTTTCTCCGCCTTGAACGAACCAAATGTTTGCGATGGGCTTCCCCTTTAACGCCCAATTTCGGAGCCTCCGTTGGTAGCAGTGACTCCAATTTAGCCATTACCAGTTGGATACCCTGCTCCAGGTCCGCCATGTTGCTCATGCTTCCCAAATATCAGTTTCCGAATTTCTGGACATCTTCCTTTATCTCCTGAATATTTTCACCTACCGATTCCAACCATTCCTCCAAGGCTTGGACATGCCTGGAGAAAATTCTTCAGTACTTCACTTGGGAAAACTTGGCATTCTGAATGGAAGGAACTTACACCCTTAACGTAACCATTTAAGAAACACACCGAACTCCCATATAAAGTGCATGCCAACAAATAGAGATTGTTGCTATTGCAAGTGGAGGATAACAAACGAGAGAAGATTTTGATACCAAATTAGTAATTGAGAATGCCATTCAACATTGTTGTGAAAGAATATTCCAAAGACTTACATCAACATGGAGGGATAGTTTCTCCATTTGTTCACTATATTGTGGCAATGCTTGAACCATCTTTTGCAAGTCCCGAGTAGACAACTCAGCACCATCTCTACAGGGGACAAATTAAGAAAAATTAAAGACCCCTTTAAAAACAATTTACATGCATATATTGAATTACAAGCTATGTAACACATCCTACTAAGTACCAGAGCTAGTCAAACATACATGCGATTCTGTGAGAAAATAAAACCCAAAAAGGGCAATAGAACAAATACTATGTGGGAAAATAGAGTTTGAAAGATAAAGACAGCACAGCAATTAAGGATGGACCATATTAGATAAGAAATGGTTAGGAAAAAGGCTTAGTGAAGGGGATGGGCTAAAACTAAGAAAATGTCAAGATCCTGGTGATGCAGATTTTATTGGGATAATTTCAGCTCAAAAACCCAGCAGTATTCAGTAAATCAAGAAATTAATGTTGAAGCACACAATTAAAATTTAAAACCATCAATGCTCTATTAAGTCCTGATGTTCAGCTTAAATAATTAGTTGTCTTATAAGGATTTCAACATTCCCCATCTATTAGTCTGCAAAGGGAAGTTAGGAAGGATAATTAAGACTTGGCCTGACATCCAACTAAATAATTGTCCAAAATCCACACAGAAAAGAGAGTGTATCCAGAAGCCAAAGATAAAGATCTAAATCCTTCCTGACTGCCAAAAGAATGGATCTACACTTGTATGCATGTCTACAGACTATAGTGATTACTTTTGAGGGGGCCTTTCATGAATCAAATTCCTAGAGTAAGATCTTTTTGGAGTTAATGTGAATGTCCTGGCTTTGAAAATTAAAATAAAAGGATGCACAAACCAAATATGTACAAGAAAAATCCCAGTTCGGCTTCCATAAAATGTCTAAACAGGCACTAGAAAGTAATACATGTTTAGCAAGCAGCTGCTCTATAAAGAAGTGTTATATTTAACCCAAATAGACCCATTTTTAAGTAAATGGGTCGAAATTGCCACCTCTAATGTTAGGTTCTCATGAAAGGCATATGCAACGGACCTTGAACCTTGATGCATCATTGCAGCTTTATTCTTCGCCACAAAGTTTGTCATTTTGTCATGCAACCGTTCACTAGCCTGACAAGGAACCATTGATCAAAAACCATATGATTGTATCTGTTAACATCGGAAATACAAAGCTGATTATGACATACATCTGCTATGTGCGAATGGCGGAGCTCTAGCCATATGGGATCATGTTCCTCTAGAAGGACCTCTTTCTTTTCAAAATCACCTGTTTTGCTTGGAACCTAAGCAGTATAATTGCTTGACATATAATAGCAACTGAAGACCAAACTTAGCAAACAGTTCTTATAGACAAGTGTTGACTAACCTCATAAACATATTTATTTCCTTCCATATCAAGTAAATCATGGCACATGGCATCATATGTCCATTCATGAATGATAGGTGCAATCTAAAAGGTAAAAATCAGCAAGACAATAAGAGCACAAATTAAAGATGATAAGGCTGCAGAAAGCAAATTATAACCAACATATTCAGCTAAAAACCTGGTCTATTGATCTATCTAAAATGAGCAACTCGCATGTTTCAATCTGCGGGAAGTTGTTGAGAGATTTATATTTCATAAGAGCATTCCAAACAGCAGCAGCAAGTTTTGTAGGAATCAAATCACAAAATGTTGTCATTGTGGTAGGGTCAAGGGATTTGGCAGCTCGGTAACGAACAAATGGGAATTCCTGAAGGAAAAGGAGCTTGTAAGCTTCAGATATAATAAGCAAACAAGTAAATAAAACATATTTTGCATCTCCTATTGCATACCCTCAGCCTTGATAAGGAATCAGAACAACAGAATTACGTACCAACATTGAAGCAAAAACGGTTGCAATACGATTGGCCATTGCAGTAAGACATTCATCTCCTTTACGGCTAATTTCCTCATCCCCATAAAATTCTTCCAAGGCCCTCCCATGATCAGTGATAAAACACTGTGGCATAATTTAAGCTTGTAAAAAACCGCAAAACACCATATAAATGGGAACAGTGTATTTATCCTCGTCACTCAATTTCCAATTAAATATGGCGAGAGTTCAATTAAAAATCATGCAGAACTTATTACAAGCAAAATACCATCTCTGGTGCCCAGACAATCCCAGTGACAAATACTTATCATTTACAACCCTAAGTTCAGTAACTAATGGAGTAAAACTATGACAACAATTGATTCCTATAAAACTAGGAGAACCATTACAATAGTTGAAATGTTTAGTTATTTCTTGTATATGACCCTTCTTGCACAAAGTTTACTGGAGAGTACTGATTTCAATATATCTACTAAATTACAAACCTCGTAACCTGCTTCACTGTAGAGACGCTACTAGTAGAGACAGAGAGAGAGAGAGTAATCTACGTTATCTATATTATTGTGTGAGCTAGAAGACATAAGACAATTATTTATAGAGAGTACAGTGCCAGTTAAAGCAAAAGCACCATATTCAGCAACGGCTAAAGCAAGAGCACCATATTCGGCAACGGCTAAAGCAAGAGCATCATATTCAGTCTCGGTACTAGATCAACAATATGTTGCTTTTCGGAACTCTAGCTGAAATTTTTTTCCTCCAATAAAATATAGAATCCATTGGCAGAGCGCCTATCATCAAGACAACTGGCCCAATTGTGTAGGAATAGGCATGATTGCATGAATATTGTTATTCCCGAGGGATCCTGGGAAATATCTCATGGTTTATGTTATTCGCAGATGATATTGTTCTCGTTGCGTACTAATCGTTCTAAGACAGAATACATGTTATGCAATTCCAGTGTGCAACACTTTGATGAGGGGGTAGAAGTTAGCATTTGGGAGCAAAGGGCACCCCAAAAGGGTTGTTTCAAGTATTTAGGCTGCATGATTCAGGCGGAAGGAGAGGTCGATGATGATGTAACACATTGCATAAATGTAAGTTCGCTAAAGTGGAGAGGGGCCATGGGGGTGCTGTATGACAAAAAGGTCCCACAAAAACTGAAGGGGAAATTCTACATGGTAGCCATCAGACAAGCCATGTTGTATTGGGAGTTTATGAAGACCCATGAGAGGAAGTCGGAAGTTGCAAAAGTGAGGATGCTTTTTGTTAGACAAGATATCGAACAGGGTATTCTGGATGGAGCTGGTAGTTGCGTCTATCGCATATAAATTAAGAGATATAGAAAGTGGAAAGATTAATCTCTACTATCTGTATTCTTGTGTGAGCTACAATACATTAGACAACTATTTATAGAGAGTACAATGTCGGTTAAGCTATGTTTGACTTGATTGTTGAGCAAGTGTATTGGGCTATCATTAACCTTTTACTTTAACACACATAATCGAAGCTCAATTTACCAAAAGAAAAGAGAAGGTACATAGATACAGTCAAACCACTGGAAAATAGGTAGACACTTAAATTATAACAAGCCACACAAGAGAACTATTTTTTCTTTACTTCTTTGGCAGCTTTAATTGATCTAAAATAAGACATAAGTAGAAGCATTCAAGCTTAAATCATCAGAAGTTACTGATACACGTTAAGCTATTAACATTATTATTTATGTAACTCACTTAAAGTTTTGGACCCCATAGTTACTCTAAGGATGCAGTTTCATATCAACCTTCTAGTAGATTTCTAAATGACCAAGTAGTGATGCATTTTGATTTTAAAAAGACAATGAAGAGTTGAGATGGATTCATGGAATTCTGCCACTAGTGCAACTCCAAGATATCCAAAGCATTAATATTATCGTTTACATTCTTCCTTTATTTTTTAGTTTCCTACTCAAAACATTAAGGAGAGTGATGCTTCACATCTAACTGCATCATTAAAGGTCAATTATAATCTGATAGCAGATCTTCCCACAAGGAGTCGCCAACAGTGAACTATTTTTATTGCTCATTTATTATCCAAAACTGCATTTGTCATTGGATCATATCCACACATGCCGTTTGCTAAAGCACTCTAGAAAAGTTGCAACAATACAAAAGTTGTCACACTTGATAGCTTTGCAAAATGTGTCCTTTACTAGTACCTCTAGTTAATGCCAAGTGAATCCGTCTGGGCTTCACATCCAGTGTGATGTCCTAGGCCTGAACCACCTTCAAAAATAAAACCATTACCTCTACTTAATCCTGAGCACTATTCGTTGATAGCATCTTGCCCCAACGCTCACACACTTGATGCGGATGGTACCCGAAGTAGACATCCATCGATTCTTCCACTTCTGGGCTGATCTCCAATGATTTGAGAAGATTCTATTTGTATATCCATCAGCATTGATTGGTCAACCAGACTGGAGATGGTCAAGAAATATTCAATGAGGTCAGGGTTAAGGATAGGAGAGAAGAAATTAAAACAAAATGGCTGCCTCTTCTGTTTCAAGCGATTTCAATTTTTTCTTGTCTTGTACTTCAAATATTCCATAAAACCCCTCCGTACCTCCTTTCCTTCTTCGAGACCAGAAAGTTTCACTACATCTTGATTATGGATGGAAGGCAATCACCATCAAGTTGCATGCTTTTAAACTACAGTCCATTGATAGATTCAGTTGCAGCCTGTGCCTATTTAACCTCATTCATCACTAATTCTCTACTGCCATTTATACATTTTTATTTGTGGGGGAAACCCCAATGAGGGCAGTTAAGGCATACCAGGATCACCCACGGGCATGACCAGCAAGAATCAAGAGGCAGCTAGCCATGCACAACAGTGAGAAAGAAATTTTAGAAAAAACCATTCAACAATTATCATAAAGTCCATTCTCTTTTCATGTGCTTAAAAGGATAACAAATTATGTTTATATACTGCATTTTTCCCAACGTGTGTTTTCAACATCTCCCAGAATAGTTGAAGCAGGAAACATAGAATAAACGCTTGTCAAGTTTCGAATAAACTTTTCACACCTTGTAGCATTCCATGTACAGCATACTGTCACTGTGGCCCATGCTTTTTGAACAGCAATTTGTAATTGATAGCACAGATCCAAACACTAGTAAACATATCAAAGGATAATCATCCGCATAACTCCAGTTACTACAATTCTTGGTATAACAGTTACCTATCTTACCCCAAGATGAAAGAAAAGAAGCAAAGACCTTTTAATTGAAATAAAGCTTATTAAATAACTAAACCAAATTTTTTAAGCAACATCTTATACCTGGCTATCAATGGCAAAGAACTCCAAGTTCATCTGCACATTCCCCTCAAAAGTTAATATAATGATGCTGTTACTTACATTACACGAAAAAGGGGTAATGAAATGTTTTAACCTCTTTCATGGCTCGCAAGCGAGATTTTATGGTTGGCTCCTTTTTTATGTCTGCAATCAATTCTTTTGGAACTGAAGAACTAAAGTAGACATAGGCACTGAAAGGAGAAAGAAAGCAAATGCTAAGGAATGCTAAGAATATTTAATCATGATATTCTGAGTTGAAAGATATACAGCTGCAACATGAAAATAAGACATTTGATATTTCACATACTCTCTATATAGAGGAGTTTTTCCGGCCATGTCAGACAAGAGCATGACGACACTGCATTTCAGAAAATAGAAGAACAGATAAGGAAGTTGACATATGAAGGAACACCAATGATTAAAGATAATGATACTACATCCCCCAAGATTAGATGGAACTGCTCCCTTTTGCACTAATCTTGAGGGAACATGGATGATTAAAGATAATGATGCTGCATCCCCCAAGATTAGATGCAACTGCTCACTTTTGCACGAATCTTGACGAGTCCTACGGACTAGCAAGGGTTTAATATATCGTTTTTACAATAAAATCTTAGAACTTACATTTATCATCTTAATGCCTCAAGATAGTGGGAAAATTGATGGTGACATTAAGCATGAGACAGGTTAAAATCGTTTGGACCACACGAGAGAGCCATATAGATTTGTAAACAGGTTTAAGAAAAACAATAAAGATGAAAGTCATAGCCACCGGTTGGTGATTGTTTCATAATAATCTTGCGAGAGTATGAAAATGAAGGGAGAAGAGATAACAACAGAAAGAAGGACTGCAGATACATCCATGAATCCATATGAATTGTTGATTTTGTAAAAGTAATTTACTTCTCTTTTGTTGGCTGGATGTAGTAAACTGCATCCATGGTGGGCAGTGGTTGCCTCCGCTTGTTTATGTCTTCCACCACTGCAGAAAGAAAAAAAAACATGTTCACCTCCATGGAATACAACAATGTCAAGTAACTGCATGAGGCATATGCCAATATCATTGTTATTCATCATTAATTCAACATTACCAAATATGACGGTCAAAAGATAATGCAATAATTACTTTGTATCTGTTGATAGAGGTGGCAAAAATCTCCATTTTGTAATTAAAGATGAAGTGTACCTTTGTTGGTACTGCTAAAAAAAGATGAAGATGTATCAAGGATGTGTGGGTAAAAGCAGCCTAAGGATATCCTTCTGTGTGTAGATATTAGAGAAGGATGGACATATAGATGAGGACGTCAGTCATAGGATAAGAGCAAAGTAGATGAAGTAGCCACAAATATACTAGTACTGTGTGAAGGTAAGTTTTATAGAACAGATGTGAGATTGTCAACAAGTTACACGTAGAATGTTACACAATAAAGAATAGAATACATGAGAATGTACGTATCAGAAATGTCAAAGTTGAGGTGGAAGTGCAGAAGCATATGAAATACAACTAGAAATGAGAAAAATCAGGGCTGCTCCAATTCAAATAAAACCAATGCAATAATGCTTTAAGATGATGATATCCAGCTGGATCTTTAAACGCAACAGAGAAAATGGGAGGAACTGGTCAAGGAATTGATTGATTGGAATATAGATCATCCATTGGCATTAGATAGGAGAAAATGAGAGGATATTTTATTGTTCATTAATTGTATCATTGTGACATTATTATGCCACCTAGTTTGGGATACAAGACTTGTTTATATTGTTGAGCTTGAGTGGTGAAACTAACTAAAAGCACTTTGGAAATCTCAAACACGTGTTGATACTGTATGCACAACAGCTGACTGTACTCATAGTGTCGAACATAGATGTTACACTGCGAAATGGAGAAGACATTTAATTCTTCTGGAAATGGAAGTGAATACATGGAGCATACACACTCAATGATGGGTGAAGCCACCTAGAGAAGGAGGTGTGTTCATCTAAATGTTTCACGCAACGACAAAAACCCGAATCCTTCTGTCATGCCAAAATTAGAGAGTGTCTAGGGGACACTAAGATCTATTGTGAATACCATGCTCATATGGCTCTACCAATCAACATCATTCGACACTTTCAAGAGATCAGGGCCTGTCTGGATCTTCACCCATGGTTTCGATTATCACTTCTAATACTAGAGATGTTGATTATAGATGTGGTGTTCTTAGATTTAAGGTCCTGCAACTGTAAGCATGGTGAGTATAACAAACTAGCAATCTAATTTTGCAGCAAAAATCTGTGAAGCATGTCACAGTTGGGCTAGCAGATCAAGTCTTAAAAGGCAATCAAAGCATCATGCTTGTTCAGCTATTACAAGCATTGATGATGAGATGCTAAAAAAAAGTCCTATGCAAACAACCATACATGTACATGCTCATACAGTAGTTTATTTTTGTGGCTATATCATGTCATCCAGAGTGTTAACCATTATATAAGACTAAGAAACAAGGAATTCACATTTTCCCTGGACTTTGTGTCTTACATGAAACTCCTTCATCTGTGATATCTGCCATCTTGCATGAGTGTGACATAATTCTAACAGTAACTTTGTCCATGATGAGTACCTAAGAAAATAAGTGTCAGTTACTAACACATAGAAAAAGAATAAAGAGTAGCATAAGTATAAAATAAACACAACTAACTCAACGAGGGGAAAATAAAGTAAATAGGGTCTTAAGACAACCTATAAATCTAAACAAACTACTAAGGTGGCAACACCACTAAAAGTTAAATGACATATTATTAAGGCTACTGTTCGAAGAAAAATGGCATGATGACATAATCTAAAATTCAAAAGTGGTTTTTTGGTAGTCCTATTGAAGTAAACTGGTTTTTCTGGATATAATCCAATGAGTGAGGGACAAAGGCATCTTAATGCCACACTGAAAAGCTCAATGAGGAAATACAATAGAGTTGCAGTTGGAAGGAGAAAAATCTACCAGTATGGTATGGGTGACCAATATAGGGCCCACCGTACTAGTATGGTGATAGTGAAGCTTATACACAGTAGGTATATGATACGAAATTGAAACTTGAAAGAACAACTGAACACAGAAGATAAGGAAGAAAGGTATGATTTGAATTGAAAACTTGGAATGAACAGAATTACAATCAAAAGTCCAGGGATGATCCCTCTTTCGCAACCATAAGGTTGGAGCCTCAAACAACATGAATGAAAAATAACCGAATGAAAGATTACGGGATCTTCCTTCCCTTCTATTCTTCTCTCTCTTCTAACTGACCTCAGCCACTTGCCTCATTCCTTTTGTTGTCATTTTCCCTTTTTGCCCTTCTAGAGTACACCTTTAATATCCTAGATTGGTTTGCATTGGAACTAATTAATTCCCCATCCGTATCATACAGTGACCGTGGCATACCAAACCATGATGAAGAACATAAACCATACACGCTTAGGGGTATTGAGCAACAAGAGAAATTTGATTAACACTATGGACCCACCATATCATGCAACCATTGCAAAATAACACTATAAACATATGCTCATTTAAGACTTTACACAACTCAATCACAGAAGGGTTTTCATTACATTGATCGCAACTTGTTTTGGCTTTGCAGTCTTATTATCATTATTTTGATTCCTGTTGTTGCTTTAGGAAATCTTACTCATTGACATTCACAATCACTCAAATCGCTTAAAAAGACGCAACCATAGGTTTTCTTAGTCAGGAATCTGCTTACCCAATAGGTACAATAAATTATATTTTTGGTGCTTTGACAACATTTAATTTAGGCCATTGTTGCCAACGGCAACGAGACAATGAAATAAAGCAAATTGTCCTTCTGGTGTACCATTAACATGATCCCGTCAAGGGGTGAATTTTCCCCTTGGCACCCCAACTTCTTATGGAATATGGTAGTCAACAATGTTTTCTTCAAGATGGGGATTTGCAACAGATGACCAAGAGGAAGACCATTGTAATTCACTTATTAATATTGGAAGGCCAAGATTGAGTTGGGACAGAGTATATTTGGGAATTTTTAGATGCTTTTGATGATCCCGAAAATGGGGCAATCACCCTTTTATGGCCATCTTGAGCTTTTTGAGGAGCCATAGGGCAGTTACATGACCCGTGTATGAACAGATAGCTGACAGGGAAGAAAGATGATTAAGAGTGTTGAAGATGGGTTTCCTTATAATAGATATCATTTGTAGGATTGTCAACAATAGAGTACAAGAGTCTCAATTATGGGTCAATATAGATAGAGCAACTGCAGCCAAATCCGCAAGGAGGGTCTCGATGCATGCAGGGTTTTAAACCTGAGTAGCATAGCAGAACAACTACAACAGGCAGCAACTCAGAATGAGATGATTATGGCTTAGAAAAGATTTGCTGCAGACCATTTAGCAAAGTTTGAAAGAAATAGAAAAAGTTTTGGAAATCTTAAGACATTGGAAATTTATGTAGAAAAAGAATATGCAGATTGGACAAAAAAGACAGTGTAAAAGATGTACGCTCTTGCACTTAAAAAAGCATATAAGAGGTATATCTAATCCTACCAACTCACCCTCTACCCCTCCCCAGTATTATAGCTAAATAAGGAATAAACTGCAACCCTCGTCCCTTGTCTCCAAGAACTCCTATCAGAGGGCATGCCGGGATGCTAATGGAGAGTGATTTAACACTTCTATAAAATAGAGTCTTGAATTTTGGAATTATTGAGTCCCACCACTCTTAAGTTGCTCTTTGTACTTGCTAAGTAACATTTGAAGTTCTCTTTATTAGTATGCACAATTGTAGAATAGTGAGAGTGTAACCACTTTTCTCGTACCTTATCAAGTGCTGAGGTGAGTAGACCAGGTGTTTCATGCTTAATAGTTGGTCTGATTAACTTGCATAAATGCGATTGTGCACCAGTATATTAACAGGACAAGACTACTTTCTCACAAACAATGCTCACGTGTATACACAAAAAATTGACAGATTGGATTAAGAATAAATAGAACATAAAGTAAGGATACCATTAAAACTAATGATCCAAAAAGGAAAGAAAACAAGAAAAAACATTCATCGAAGATTCCCAATATTTGGCCTATAGGATTTAGTCATTAGGTTCATGGGGTGCTCATCATGTAATCCCCCAAAATTGACTAACTTGGAAATGATTAGTTGAAATGTATTATCTTGAAATTCATGATTACATATTCCAAGATTAGAAAAATAATAAATAATAAGAAAATTAACTTGAACAAGAAAAACCAAGTCCTAAGTGCCATGAGAAAGAGGAACAAAGGATGCTTCTCATGGAACAAAGGATGCTAACAAGCACGACATAAGAAATTTGGCAAAAGGTTATGGTCTCAACTGGTATGTGTTTCAAAATGATACACGGGTTGAAAATTAGAGAAACTAAAGGTGAGTCGCAACGTTGTTTAGCATCATGAGCATGACAGTCGACCGAGTGAACTTGTATTAGGCTTTTCAATCTTACCATATAAGGCATGACCATAACAAGCTCTTCCCAACACCTCCTTCTATAGACGAATTTCAGTTTAACTTCAAATATTTGTTTAAGTTGCATATTTAGGTTTTTAAGTTCCCTTTCTTTACCCAATTGAGGATGAGAAATCATGTAACTTGGCAAGGTTTGATTGTCTCATTATTCTGTAATTACATACACAATTATAATCCGTGTACGAACCTTAGCTTTTTTTACACCTTTTAGTAATGGTATTTTTCTTATCTGAACAGGTTTTCCAGGACATAAAATAACTACCCAAACTCAGAAACCATGATGGGGATCTCAGACATAGTTCATCCTTGCTATAAGGGAACAACAGGGATCTTAAAACAATACCATACAACCGACGCAAGTATGAAGGCCTCACACTGATAGGATGGGAGGGATTACTCTGGTGTGTAAAAACGGAAGACGCACCTTATGGTCCAATCTTGAAGAGCTTACATTGTAGGGGTAGAGTGCAATTGGAGAAAAGATAATTAACACACGATATTGTATGGTGCAACTGACTTCCAGGAGTGAACCCATGGTAGGGGTACAGTGGGTTGAGCATGCAGGAACCAATACGTAACTCTATACCATATACATACACAATGACATAAATCTACACATGACTATAGAGAATCAAATCTCTGTAATTTTCTAGCCTAAGAGATACTGTTTCCATAAGATAAAGGACTAAGCTTATTTTTGTACTTAATGATTATGATTTCAAGGATTTCTGATACTTCAATGTCCAAAAGGGATCATAAGACTTCAAGGATTTGACACCTCAGATTTTCAAATAACCAGGGTTGACTTTATGTTTTCTATTTCTTTCATCTCCTCTCCATTTGTTTATTCATATGCAATCATCTTTTCTATTGTGTGTGTCCTTGCTTGTTGTTTTTGGTATTTGTATCCTCTCCTCTATATTTTCCTTTTCCTTCTAGTTAATTTTTTCTCAATATTTCCATGCTTGTTTGCGTATGTATATGTAGGATATGACAACCCAATAGAGCTTGGATCATTCAAAAAATCTGATATATCATTTCAGTATGGGTGTAAATAGTCTGATGATGTTCCTTAAGTTATTTTGTCTACATTTTAACATGAATATATATGTGTTTGTATGCAATTATACACGTATGTTTTGCCACACCTGGATTTTAGTATTTCCAAAGTTCCAAACCACACAACTGTTCCCATGCTTCGTAGGCTAGACGATGTGGAAAGAAACCAATACCTAATACATGAGTAGAGAATACAGTTCAAAATAGTTCATGTATGATGCAGAAGCTCAATCCAAAGTGAAGCCACAAAACTATGTCCTAATCCCTAAGCTTTTTATTTACCAATAAAAAAATTCTTACCAAAGGGTCTTTGGCCTAGCGGTATCGTAGCCCTTGGCCTCCTAGGAGGTCAGGGGTTCAAACCTCACCATAGGTGAGGAGGGTGTGTGAGTTTATTTGTTGCATTTGTCGTATATAAATATTATATACTTCAAAAAAAAAAATCTTAAGCTATGACATATCCTCAATTTTCAGAGAGTACTCCATATTGTCAGATCTCCAACCTCAACTTTTGCCTTGTCTATCTATGGACGATTTTGAAGAGGTCCTTAGCAATTAACCAATGTTATCAACTTGTAGTTTTCCCATTGTGCAAGGGGCTTGCAAGGTTCTGCCATCTAGATAATTGTTTTACAGGGTGGTCCAGCCATGCATGTGGCTCATAAGATATGTTTGCTCAATTGTAACCTAGCTGCCTAAAGAAAGTTCTTGATGTGGCAATAGCATGACCTCCAGGCTTAGCCTCACCATAGTTGACCAACTCTAATCAAAAGCAAAGAGATGAGTATCATCACACATTATTATCTCCATGGTTACAAATAAAGATAGTTGGATATTCGAAAACCAAACCAATAACTGTTATGATTGCAGAAATTCAAACTGCTGCCACCATGACTACAAGTTGTCCGTACCTTCCAATTTGATTTTGCGTCCTGTCTTTTTGCCGATCTGATCATTTCATACAATAATCCTATGAAAAACAATGATTAAATTAAGTGACATAGTATCAGAAGTGTATATGCAAATAACCAGGATAAAGGCAACTTGTAGTTTTTGATAATAAAGAAACAAATCTAAAAGTCAAAGGTAAGTGGTTTAAGGTCAAATAAATAATAATGCTGACATATATAGCTTTGCAAGTTCTGAACTTAACCTAAACCATTGGTAATTGCATGGTTCTCTTATCAAATTAGAAGAAGGGGATAAATTGTTGCTGAGATGAACGGGGGATTGAGAAAAGATTGAAAGACGAAAAAAGGAAATAACAACACAGCACAAGAATAAGCTTCATGCAATCTTAAAATAACTGCCTAAATAAGAAACTTCCCTATCAATGTACTGATCTAAGGCCCATCATATTGATGGTCACTATGGCATCCATGAGTGCAATCTTAAGCAACTAGGAAGTAGCATAGAACTTAGATATACTTGCAACTTCAATTAAGGTGGGACCGAAAACATGTGACAGTGATAAAAGAAATATATAACCGAGTACTGTTAATTAGGCAAGTAGATTATGGAAGTAGTGGCCTTGATAGCATATTACTTTGGAATAACAGAACTAGTGGTCCTTGTACGTGTTACAAACAGCTATCCTTTCTCTTCCTATGTCATTTTCACTAAAATAATTATATTAAACTCCATCTCCAATTCAAGTATTCTCTCAAACAGCATATGGTTGTCTACATGTATCATATTTCTGATTTCAGCTACATGCCTCCATCTAGTGCTCTATTTATTTTCTCAATCAAAGCTACAGGGAAGACATCCTTACTGTTTTCACAGATACCCTTAGTTTTTGGTTCCCCTACATTCACTATTAGTTGCCTCAGGACCACAAGCCAAGGATAAAAACATGAAACCCCAGTAACTGCAGGGGGGAGAACAGCAAATGAGACAAAATGGAATTTAAATGGGCAATCATAAGGTTTAAGATCCAATCTAGTGAGAAACCCTTTAATCATGAGGATTGGGAACTTCTTGATATTGGTGAGAGTATAGATCTTGACAAGTGGATATTTATTTAGAAACGTCCGCTACAATGCATAAACAACTTCCAGTGCTTAAACATATTAACTTGACATAAGGGTTACCATATTCATCATGGATTCTGCACAGGTAAAAGTGGTATATATCCTGTTGAGTGTTGATCAATGACCATTAGAAGGACAAGATGCTCTCCTTACTTATGCTTTCATTTTTCCGTAGGCTTGTATAACTAGGATGTCGACTCTCGACTTCAATATATTGTCATTTGAAGAAATTTGAAAGGTCTGAGTTAACAGTTGATAATTACGAAGACATAGTAAGGTTGGTACAACCCATATGTGTATAGACGAGGCCAAATGCAGTCGAGCGAATCAAATGGATACCCCATTTCCTTTAGTAGGCTTAAATGTCATCCATTTATTGTGGTTTACTCTATTTCTCTCTTAGCCATTCTCAATTGAACATCATAAACTACTCTATCAAGCAGAGGCATCCAAACCTCGTTTTCATTTTTAGATGGCCTACACAATCTAGTTGGGATAAAAGGTTTTTTTGTCCGTTTCCTATAGAAGACTTGTAACATTTTGATATTCACATGTAATGAGCTCATTTTAGCCTATTGCTAACCTAGTGCCAAAGTTTTCCAAATCTGCTGTATGGTGTAACTGAAAACAACAGTACAGACCTTGTACTAGATAATCGTAACCGGCTGTTCCAACTCATGAATCGTTAGAATATACACAACCTAAAGGTTAGTTGGTACCACTGTATGACTAGCATCTTAAAGTGGAGAGTCCTGGTTTCCAAGCCTCGTTAAATTCAACTTAACTAAAAAACCAACTTTTCCAAATGGGTTTCATTGCAAACAGCAAAAAGGAAAGAAAAAGAAGCACTCTCTTTAATAAGAATTAGCAATTTTTTGTGGAAAACTTGGCATTTTTTTTGTGAAAACCTGCTCCTCCTTGCAAAGTAGAGCCCTTCTTTCTTTTTATCTTTTCTATTTCCTTGCATTGTGTCAAGAACAATAGTTTGTTGCTAAAGATTGTTGTCTGATCAAAGGAACTATACACGCACACATGTACATAGATACATATGCATATAAGGACCATAAATTCATATATTAGCACTAATAAAATCTCAAATGAGCTCTTTTGTTCTAAATTGTACCCAAAGAAAATGACCATGTGAGTTTTTAACTTCATAAACAACTTTATATTTTTGTTTTTGTGGTTTTTCATCATGATACCAAGATAAACTCAAACTAGCTCTAAAGTCTAAACCATGTTCTCTTGAACTCTTTTCAACAGTCCAAATTCGCCATACGAAACGAGTGCTGTTGTTTTTTATGAAATTTCATGCAATGGATATCACTAAGTTATAATAAAATTCTATTCACCTCCGATCTTCGTATACAGTGATAAAATGAATCCAATTTGTTTTGGGAATGCTTTAAATTTAATTTAATTTGATTCACACAACAAGTTTGTAAACAGTTCCCTTGAATTTTTAGGTTAGAAGCAAAAGAGCTAATTTATTTCGGAATGGAGCTAATGTTTTGCATGAGCACTTCCTCTTTGTGAACGTACGGCGCCTCCACCTCATAATTGAAATGTAGCTTAGTAAGCGTGGTAATATCCTAGATGCGTTGCCCTCACCCTCACTAAAGAATAATCGAAAATTGAACTCACACCTCTATAAACGCCATTCCCAAATTCAAACAAAGATCATACACTACAGCATTACAGGCCACTTAATCCACCTGATCACACCCACAATTAAACTGCAAATGTACACATGCATACACATGGATATACAACGGAAATATAGAAAGTGAAATTGCAGAGAAAAAACTCACGATCACGACTAATTTGTCTGAAATTTTTATGGTCGTTGCCTCCTTGGAACGACGTATCCCAATCCGACATCGAGATATTCGATCAAAAACGCAAAAGTATTTGAATTGATCGAAGAGGGAGCTCAAAATTCAACAGAAGAAGGGATCGTATCAAACAGTTAATTGATGGTGGACGAAGACGGAATGATATGGGTTATTAAAGGGGTGGAAATGGTTGACTTGTGGGTAACCCGAACCGTAACCGAAATTTCCTAAGCTTTTTTCGTTTTGAATAACGGTCATGTCGGGTCGGACGGATTCTTTAGAAGGAAGGTTGTCTTGCAAGACAGATAACGTGTTTGTTGGAATTTTATGGTTTTCCATTTACATTTTTTAACAACAATTATATACCAATATTCATTTCATTAAATTATTTTATTTTAATTTTAATCAAAATAACTGACATAAAAAATCAGTTTTATACGAGAATATGATAAGATAATTGTATCATCTTCTTTGTAATTTGTAGTCTTCAATCTTCACGTGAGAGTGTCTCCTTCTCTTTTTCTTCATTGGTTGTTTATGGAGGTCCCTTGGAAAGAGATTTTTTTATCTATTCTTATAGCCACGTTTTTTACACATGGGGTCATAAGATAAACTATTAGATATTAGGAAAAGACATTATTTCAATCTTTTAAATTTAAGACAGAGCAGTTGATTCTCTCATATTTTCGTTACCTGACAAATAATAGAACATTCCTATAAAAAGCATGCAATAACGATGTATGATGTATGGAGAATGCGATAATAATATCTACACTATGTATATACCTAATTGGTGTACAAATTGTGATATGTATAGTTTACAGTGTGATGGTATCACAATGTGCACATATATCTAACAATAGAAACCTTGTTGTTTCAGTATGCTCATAATGTGATTTCAGTATGTTCATTATTTGAATCCTTGTTATTTTAGTTTGTTCATATTATAATTTCAGGTATTTCATTATTTGAAACATTATTGTTTTAGTGTGTTTAGAGTGTCCATATAATCTAGCAGTTAAAGTGATAGTTTATTATATTTAAATAAAAACAATAGAGATGGGAGAGCTCAGAAAAAAAAACTAGCCGGTTACAACTGAGAGGAGAGAGACATATATTTATAATAACTGATTTTCCTAAAAATATTGTTTGATGAGTTATCATAAATTGTTAAATTACTAATTAACGTTTAATATTTAATTAATAAATCAAATTAATTAATTCAAAGGTGAAAGATCATGTAAGAATGAGAGTTAAACTGAGACACGTAAGAAGGAATCTGGACCCTTAATCACCTTTAATCTCAAACTCACTTATGAATTGCGCTTGATACGGAAATTGATGGATCTCGTCCTAATGTACATCAAAGGGTGGATCCCTTCTTACACTTCTTACTTTAACTCTCATTCTCATCGAAACTCAACCCTTAATTTAAATGAGTGGACTGTGATGAATTTTAGAAGTCTTGAAATTTTGAAACGATTAAATCTTATTTAATCATTATATTTATGGTTTTATCATAAAATATCAAATAACTGGCTTTTTTTTATATTTTAAGAATATAATAATTCATTTTGTTAAAAAATTATAAATATGATTAACAAATATTAAATTACTAGTTTTTTTTTTTTTTAATTTAAATGTTGTTCCCCTTGTTTTTTTTTTTTTTTTTTCTAACATATCAAAATTATAGCTTTGATTTGTAGGAGTGAAGGAAAATTCTATACGCGTGAATAACTATGTGTTTGAGTCGACCATTGAATTTGTTCAACATTCCCACCATCCATGGATGGTGTACAACATTCTCATCAAATACGAATTTCAAAAATAAAAAACAAAAATGTTTATGATCTTTTTTTTTATTAACCTTAATAGTCAACACGCTATGCGAGCCGACTAATTACAGGGCGACCACCTACTTTGCAGATAGCCTGGAGTCACCATATTTGAACCTCCGTGGCCACAAGAGGATTTTTATTTCTCATTAGATTTGAACCTGGAAAATAAGATGACTTTGTCCAAATACAAGACAAGTCGTGAGGTTGATCTCATACTAGCCTCAGTCGCTCCATGAGCCAAAAACATCCTATCACAATGGTGTTCTTGGAGACGGTTTCCGTTATGAAAACAGTTGGGTTGTCGAAAATCAGCTTTTTGCCAAAAACAAAAAACAAAAAATACTCGAAAATCCATACAGTAAAATAGTTGTTTTTCGTGTCAAGCATAGTTTCTTGTGTATTTTTTTAAAAAATTAATGGTTTTTTATCGGTTAGATTTGTGAAAGTAAACATTCGTATATGTTAAAAAAAATCAAAAGTATTTTATTTTAAAGACAGTCCAAAACAAAAAGTATGTTAGAATACGTAGATATGGATTGAGGTGTTAATAAAAACAATACATTTTGTTGTCTTAAATATTCTTGCCCTCTTTCTTTCCATCAAGTGAAGCTATATCATCTGTTTACTGAGGAGAGAGAATAAAAAGATGAATTATATGGGTTTATATTAAATAAAATGTTGATGTGGCTCTATGCAGTTGATGGACAAACAAAGAACAGATAAATTTGAGACAACAAATTTTTATCCAACTAAAAGAGCTACGACGTTTCCATATGTTATTTGATGTTATATATTGACCTTTTGTGTTTGGTTTTTACTCAAAATTCCAAACTCAGCCAAGAACTCTATTTTTTATTTCAATTCAACGATGGTGGTTTTGAGGGGTTTAGCAACCATCTGATGGTGTTGCTTAATTAGTTGTGATGGTGGATGATATATGTCAATAACATACTGTTGTTGTCGCTATTTGTTAAGGTTGAAAACTCCATGTCTGTAATAAAGATGGAAATGATGTTACATACCGTCCTCGTTTTTTATATTCACTTGTTCGTCTTAAATACTTGGTCTGAACTCTCAAAATACTATGTAAATCATATTTGTGTCAGGAGTAAACATTAAATGACTTCGTAACAGAAGTCCATTCCCCCCCTTTTTTACTGTAGCATAGGCCTTTGCCACTTGAGACATATGCTTAAATACTTGGTCTGAAATCTATGATTTATTTTCTTTTGTTTCTTTTCTAAAAAAATATCGAAAACACGATTTTTTTTACTTTTCTTCTATTCCCTCCCTTTCCTTTTCTTCATAAAGAAGTTTCGAGAACGCAACATAATTTATGATTTTTGTCTTTGTAATTTGTTAAAAATTACGACTTTCATTCATGTGCTTTTAAAATTACAATTTTCGTTCATGTAATTTATAATTTATTGTTATTTTCGTTCCCAAGGCAAACTCGGTCAGTGTTATATTTTTAAGCATGATATATAGAAACAACAATGAATTGTAAAATATATGGCATGAAATAAAATATTGTAAACCACAGGGACTAAAACCTGTAATTTTGAAATAATAGGGATGAAAACAGAAATTGTTAACAACCCACAGGGACTAAAAACGTAGTTTACTAAAAACAAAACGAGAAAGGTATATATCGGTCAGCAATAGAATTCTAGAAACCACCTTACGATTGCCGCTCATGTTCATTTCGCACCCATCGCTCGAACGCAGTTTAGAGTCTCTGAAACCCCAAAACTCACTACCATAAACTCAATCAATTTCGTTGAAATATCTCAATTGTGGTATTATCCATTCAAATCGTTCGATTTCTTCCAAGGTATCTCTCTAGGGTTTAAATTCGAGTTACGACGATGTTTCCTGTACGCTTTTCTGTCGGTTGTGAATCGTGTGGTTTTAGATTTTTGCTGGATTTCAATTTTTGTAGTAAACGAGATTGAGATTGGATTATTATGCTTTTTAGTTTTTTACTGCTTCTTTTAGGTGACTGAATTGGTGAATTATATGGTGGCTTTCGTGTTTATGGCTTTCATGTGGATGAGTTATCGGGAAACCGAGGTTTAGGTTTTAATTTTTTAAACCAGGATCTGGTAAAGTGTTACCTTTCTTAATCATCAAATCTACTTGCCCGTTTTGCTTAACTGCAGAGCTCCTGATAAAGTTAGAACCTCGATCGTGAATGCTCATAGCTAATTGATCTTATAAATTGTTTCTTTTTATAGCAACAGTTGGACATTCGAATGGTTTTCTAAGGTGAAGGGTGATGTTTGAGCACTTTGATTTCCATTTAGGTGTTTTTATTGTTTACTTGGAGGATCTTGAATGTAACCCATAATTCCTTGAGGATGTACTAATTTTGTGAGTGATGACTGTCACTCTTTGTTTCCATATGTAGCTGAGGTATGTTAATACACCATCTGACGAGTTAGTGTGCGGCAAAGAGGATATGCATGACCTGGTGTTACATCCAATTACATTCCTTTTACATGCTATAGAATTATTTCACTTTCCCTTCTCCAACATAGGAAATGATTCCAAAGGAAAAAATGAGAGACAAATAGTATGCAAGGCCAAAAGAAAAAAGGGTATCTTTTTGGTGACTAAGTATATGGTGGTTTTCGTGTTTATGACTTTCATGTTGACGAAATAGAAAACAGAGATTGAGGTTTTAATTTTGTACAGCAAGGTCTGGTGAAGCATTACCTTTTTTAATAATGAAATCTGCTTGTTGGTTTTGCTTAATTGCAGAGCTCCTGATAAGGTTAGAACCTTGATAATGAATCTTCATTGCTAATTCATCTTCTAAATGGTTTCTGTGTATAGCAGCAGTAGGACATTCCAACGCCTTTCTAAGTTGAATGTTTATGTTTGAGTACTCTGATTTCATTTTAGGTGTTTTTATTGTTTGGTTGGACTTTGGAGCTCCTTGAATGTAACTCATAATTCTGTGAGGACATATTGTCATTGCTAATTAAGACCATACCACATGACGAAGGAACCTTATATCTAGATGTTCATCAATAGCTTACGGCATCCTAGTGTATTCAAAGTATGTTAAAATACCAGCTGATTAGTTAGTATGTAGCAAAGAGAATATGCATGACCTGGCGTTATATCTAAATAAAATTCTAGTTACATGCTATAGAATTTATTCCGCTTCCCTTTCTCCAATAGAGGAAATGATCCCAAAGGAAAAAGATGAGAAACGTATGGTATGCAAGGCAAAAAGAATAAGATAAGTGAAAAAGGGTATTTTTTTTGGTGACTAAATTATGTGGTGGTTTTCGTGTTTATGGATTTCATGTTGATGAATTAGGAAATGGAGGTTTAGGTTTTAAATTTGCAAAGCAAGATCTGGTGAAGTGTTACTTTTCTTAACCATCAACTCTGCTTGTTCGTTTTGCTTAATTGCAGAGCTCCTGATAAGATTAGAACCTCGATTGTGAATGCTCATAGCTTTAAAAATTGTTTCTGTGTATAGCAATTGTAGCACATTCAAACTCTTATCTATGGTGGATGGTTATGTTTGAGTACTCCATTTTAGGTGTTTTTATTGTTTGGTTGTCGCATCTTGAATGTAACCCATAATAGGCAGAGCTAACCCAACATTCTATTGAATCAAAAAAATGCCTACGTACCAGTTGCTTCGCAGGTAGGCCCACTTTCAAACAAAGAAATTATTGAATAGCATCTTTAAGAAAATTTATGGTGGCATTTGGAAGTGTTGCTGACTTAACATTTAGGTTAGACATTTACCCAAGGCACTGATATTCTGAGTTCTGTGAGGACATATTGTTATTGTTAATAAAGACCAGAACACATGACGGAGGAATTTTATAACCAGATTTTTGTCAACAGCTTACAGCGTCCTAATGTAGCTAAGGTATGTTAATGTACGAGCTGATGAGTTAGTATGCGGCAAAGAGGATATGCATGACCTGGCGTTACATCTAAATTAAATTCTTTTTACCTTCTATAGCATTTATTCCACTTTCCTTTTTTCCAATAGAGGAAATGAGCCCAAAGGAAAAAGATGAAAGACAAATGGTATGCTAGGCCCATAGAAAAATATGGGAGAAAAGGGGTATCTTTTTGGTGACTAAATTATATGGTGGTTTTCATGCTTATGATTTTCATGTTAACGACTTATAGGAAATGGAGGCTTAGGTTTCAATTTTTGTAAACTAAGATATGGTGAATGGTTATGTTTGAGTACTTCAATGTCAGTTTAGGTGTTTTTCTTCTTTAGTTGGACTGTTGGAGCATCTTGAATGTAATTCATAATCCTGTGAGGACATGTTATTGTTAATGTTAATGTTAACACATGAGTAAAGAACTTTATATCCAGATGTTTATCAATAACTTACGAGGTCCTAATTTATCTAAGGTATGTTAAAATACTAGCTGACGAGGTAGCATGTAGCAAAGAGGATATTCATGACCTGACGTTACATCTAACTTAACTTATTTTTACCTGATATAGAATATATTCCACTTTCTCTTCTCCCCAACTATGGAAATGAGCCCAGAGGAAAAATATGAGAGAGAAATGATATGCCAAGGCCAAAAAAAAAGATGGGAAAAAGGTTACCTTGTTGTGAGCTTATGGGGTATATTACTAAAATATTCTTCGAACTTGGAACCATCAACATTCATTTTGAAGTGCAATTGGATGTCATCCAGTGCAGTTACTCTTGTTCCATAATCTGGATTCTCCTATTCTTGTTGTACATGTGTGTAGTATATGTTTCTGACATGATTTCTGGGTTTCTATTTGAACCCCTATCTATTAACAATACTGGGTAGTTCTATCAGGGTAAGGATCTTGAACTTATTTGAATTGTTCTGATACTTTTCAGGGAGACAATCTGAAGAAGATGCAGGGTGGGAGAGGACGTGGTAATCCTTTATTTGGTTTTGGTGATCCTTTTGCTGGTTTTGGGGGTATGCCTAGTCTCTTTGGAGGAAGGGACCCATTTGATGACCCTTTCTTCACACGCCCATTCGGTGGAATTTTCCCACCTGGCCCTGTGGGGAGTCCTTTCATGGGATTAAATCCATTTGGATCAAGCTTATTTGGTCCAAGTGCTAGTCCTTTCATGGTTGAACAAGCACCTAGAATTAATGAAAGTAGACCTTCACTGCCAAATAATTCAAGGGGCCCAATTATTGAAGAACTGAACTCTGACGATGAAAAAGAGCAACCTGACGATGGGGAGAATAAGAAAGAGAATCCTCGAAAGCATGGTAGATCTGAGATACAACCTTATGTTGAGCACCCTGATGATGAATCAGAAGGTAAAATGTGTTTTACTTATTACATTTGTGAGTACTGCCTTAAAATGTTTCTGTGTGTTGATACGTGCTTCCCCATGTTGAAAGCCAGGATGAGCCAATGAGAGCTCGACATCTTCATGTAATTTAGCAGATGAGGTAAAACATTTGAGTTGTTAATGCTAGATGGGCAAGTCAATATGCCCCTAACGAAAGGGATTAGGTTTACCAAACATCTAGACAACTAGAGAAGTTTTAAATAACCAATGCAGAATGAAAGAGGAAAGCAACAATCACCAAAACAAATTTATAAGCATGTGTTGACACATGTTTTTTGTTATATAATCTCTATAAACATATACTGATAGCACAAAAACGCTATATCAGAGTTCCTATTTTGCTCATATAACATAAACCTAGCAATTTATCTAATATCTAAACTTTGTGCAAATTATTGATGATACAAATTTTGCCGTGGAACCTCAACAATGAGGTGGGGTTCACTAATTTGATGGAACTTGAACAACTTTGGACCTGATTGAATTGTTATTGGCGTAATAAGTTTCTTTCTTTTGAGAAAGTAATTGCAAGAGGAATGTGAAACAATGACCTCCAAGGTACTACCACATAGAGAATGGGCCAAACACCACCAAGGTATCTGAGACTTTGGCCTCCCTAGGAGGTCAAAAGTTCAAACTTCACCAAAGGCGAGGAGGTGTGTGATTTTATTAGTTGCATTTGCCTTGTGTGTGTGTGTATATATATATATATACTATATTATAAAGCATTTGACAAAAACTCTTAAAAACTATTTTTTATGCGTAAAGTACTCTTTTATTAATGCATATTACTTAAAACTCAATATTACAAGTAGATTGTGCATAAGTACAACTTATTAAAGCTCTATATCTAAATTCGTGTAACTAACTGCAGATAAACATAATCAAATACAGGATAAACATCTCATTATAAATATAAAAAATCTAAACTATAATTAGGATAATCATTGAGTTTTAACAGAATACTTAATTATTATCTTTATAAAATGTTATATTATTAAACCAAAAATAAATTATTTCATTATTAAACTTAAATTAAATTATAATAAAAAAATAAATTAAAGAAATTACATAAAAAAATGAAAACTTTTAAATA